TGGCTTATTATACTGAGTCTGCGCGCGGGTGTAGTGTGAAATATGCTCGTGGAGAGTAGTTTACGCGCGTGTGAATTACATAAAGCTGCGCGTGTATGTTTTAATTGCGCTTGTGGACTTTTGGCGTAAATCTGGCATCATAGATGGTCCTGTGCATGATTGGTCTACTGCTGTGGAGGCTGCTTCTTGTGACTGGAGCTGGCCTGAGTTTGGGCGCTGGGCCTTGCTGGGGCACAGTGATATGGGGTGCCGTTTGTAAAAATTCTGTTAAAATTTTTTAGCTGAACATTTTTCTACATTTAGCTCACTTTCCTCACATTTAGCACATTTTCCTCACATTTAAGACATATCTATATCTAAATGTTATATCTATATCTAAATGTTAAATCTAAATGTTAAATCTAAATGTTAAATCTAAATGTTATATCTAAATGTTATATCTATATCTAAATGTTATATCTATATCTAAATGTTAAATGTTATATCTAAATATTATATCTATATCTAAATGTTATATCTATATCTAAATGTTAAATCTAAATGTTAAATCTAAATGTTAAATCTAAATGTTAAATCTAAATGTTAAATCTAAATGTTAAATCTAAATGTTAAATCTAAATGTGTCGCCAAGTGTAAAGCTAAATATATAGAAACCACGCCCACTGCAGTGGCTTCAAATCCAGTGGGCCCGCCTTCCGTGCCGTGTGGTGAGAACCCTACAGGATTACACAGGAATCTCACGGGACTCCACGTGGCTTAGTTTACAGTGAATACACTCTGGCTCCAGCAAATAAGCAAGAATCTTCACAAAAATGCTAATTTTGTGCCGTGGCCAAGGACGATGGCGCCGGAGACCCAACATGCCTTGAGCCGTGACGTCGGTCCACGTGTATTCCTAGTTCAAAACACGCGGCACGGAAGGCGGGCCCACTGAATTTGAAGCCACTGCAGTGGGCGTGGTTTCTATATATTTAGCTTTACACTTGGCGACACATTTAGATTTAACATTTAGATTTAACATTTAGATTTAACATTTAGATTTAACATTTAGATTTAACATTTAGATTTAACATTTAGATATAGATATAACATTTAGATATAGATATAATATTTAGATATAACATTTAACATTTAGATATAGATATAACATTTAGATATAGATATAACATTTAGATATAGATATAACATTTAGATATAGATATAACATTTAATAACATTTAGATATAGATATAACATTTAGATTTAACATTTAGATTTAACATTTAGATTTAACATTTAGATTTAACATTTAGATTTAACATTTAGATATAGATATAACATTTAGATATAGATATAATATTTAGATATAACATTTAACATTTAGATATAGATATAATATTTAGATATAGATATAATATTTAGATATAGATATGTCTTAAATGTGAGGAAAATGTGCTAAATGTGAGGAAAGTGAGCTAAATGTAGACCCTATGGGGTCTGAGTCCTGGGCCTGGTGGGGTCTGGGGCCCCTCTCTCCTCTGGGTCCTGTGTCGTTGCCTGTGGCTGCAGCCGGCTCTCTGCTCCTGGTGCAGATGGCTCCTTGGATGACGCTTCTTCAGCCGGTTACATCTGCTCCCAGCCCCATTTCTTTTTATTGTTTTACCTATTTTACCTGATATGACTTTATACTTGTGTATTGTGTGTGTGTGTGTGTGTGTGTGTGTGTGTGTGTGTGTGTGTGTGTGTGTGTGTGTGTGTGTGTGTGTGTGTGTGGTGTGTGTATTGTATATATAATTATAAATGTGATTTTGGGGGGTCTGTGGGGAGGAGGGTTTAGGGCTGGGCATGTTGGATTGTTTTTAACTAAACTGTAAAGCACTTTGTGTTACACTTTTTGTATGAAAAGCGCTTTATAAATAAAATTTGATTGATTTGATTGAAACAAGTTCAGCTAAAAAATTTTAACAGAATTTTTACAAACGGCACCCCATACAGTGATCATTGTTACGGATTTAGCTTTATTAAAGTATTAAATCGCACTGGACACAACACATTATTATTAAGGTATTATTTATTCAATACTAAACAACAACATTCCTGCATGTATTTGAATTATGTTTATGGGGTGGGAGTCGACAAGTTTTTACTTCCTTCCCACTCCATTTCGAGCTGACAAATTGTATATAGAGGTTCATTTGTAAATATATATTGATATTGTAGATATACAACACATGGTGAAACTAGGGCAACTATTGCTTGATTGTATAGTTACATTATAATATACATGGAAATGTATAAACGTAAGTACAGCAGGCAACATGTATAAAGAACTGTAAACTAAGAAATGTAAATATTGTGAATACTTATGATTGTAAAATTTCTGCTCGAATGAATAAAATCAATCAATCAATCAATCAAAAGAAACATAGATTATTATGGTGTGACACCGCCCTGTGGAACAGCCTTCCCCTGCCCTAGCATCAGGCCCCTCAGGCCCGAGTGGGCTTTGGGGCCAGCGTCATGCCTTTTCCAGATATCATCAACACAAGCTTGTCACAGGATCCGTTTGGTCACGTTTACAAAGCTCATGTCCAGAGGAAAACACGATGACACGTGTGAGCAATAAGAACCGCTGCTTCATGTAGTTTGTGAAGTGATGTCACTGCAGTAGTTCACTGAGATGAGTTTGATCACAGATCAGTCTCATCATGAATCTGACTCCATCAGTTGTTGAGACACATATGAGATCTGATGTGTTTGCTGTCAGTATCCTAATCTGATTGCAAAGGATTGTATTAGAATGTATCTTCACTGCTCTGTTTGAGTTCAAATCTCACGTCTCAAGTTCATCTTTCAGATCATTATTCCAGGACTGAAATAATGCAACAATATTCAACACAATCTTATCCCATATATCATACACCGTTACTTTAATGATGTGGTAGATTATTTTGGCTGAACAGGGGAAAAGCACCAAATGTTACATCAATCGCTTATAGTCATCAAGTTGACTCAAGAACGGTAAAGCTGCGGGGTCCTACGCATACTGCGCATACTGCGTAGTCTGCGTAGTCTGCGTATAGGAAGCGCCGGCTCTGTCTCGAGTCCACCTCCAAGCCGCGGGATGTTTGCATAGCTCGGCCAGGGGGCGTCACTCTTGAACGTATTGCATTGCAGTCTTTGGCAAATATTTACAGTCTCTCTATGGTATTAAGCGTTAACTACCAAAACTTCACAAAGGTAAAATAAATAGCTCAACATTTCGCGTTTGATATATTTTTATCTTTACGTAGACACTCCAGATGCACACAGAAAAAAAGTCTTTGAGATGTTATTCTTTCAATTAATTCACCCCTTCACGGATCTGACAAGCAAAATAACAGTTGAAGAATTGGTAGTCATAAAACATTTTCACCTACATTCATAAAGAACACGTCAATGATTCATCCTTTGCTCATTAACAAATTCCTGACGTTTATTTTCAATATAATATAATAATTATGTAATTAGCCAGCCAACGGGGCTATTGTGATTGTCGGTATTTGGATTATGCAAAAACTACTGAGCTGAATCTCGATATGTAGATTGTATGTGATGATAGCAATTCTCAAAGGGAGATTGTGTAAATTCATTCATAATAAACCTTGTGCTGCCCTCGGGTCAAAATGATCCCCCACAGATGATTAGAAGTAGAAGAAAAATACCCTATATTAGAGTCTAAATGACCCAGGTCTGGTCAAGTTCAGAAAAATCATAAAAATTCAGCTTGAAAAAAACCAAAAACATTTAGTCACTAAGGCGCGTTACAAAATACAAGTGTTAAATATGCCCTCGCCCAGGAGAAAGCCCCATTGAGTATTTCTATAATTTAAACCTTAGAAGAGGTCTGTGAATGATATTGTAGCCCATGAAAACTTCTCTCTATACAAGCACACCAGACAACTGTTTATTATGAGTTATATTTTTAGTAATATTTTTAATTTACAAAGCTGATGTTGAGGGTAAATGTCTATAATGGTTTCATCTGTCACACAGGGGTTCCCTCATTGTTCTTCCTTTCTTGCTCCTTCATTTTGAAATAGTCTTTGTTAAACATGACCGTCCGTTGTAGGGGCAGCGCTGGCTCCTCGCACACATCTCCAGTTCTCTTCTGTTTGGCCAGAATCATGGCCCGGAGCAGTGGAGGGTAGGGAACGGAGCGTGGGGGCGGTGCAGGAAGAGGCATAAAGTCTGTGAACACATGCTCCATGTGTTTTGGGATCAGCCTCCAGTCGTGGTACATGATCTTGTCAATCTCTTTAACCTCAGCTTCCTTATTCCCTGCGTTAAATATAGAAGACATAGAATCAGAAAATGTTTTTCCCTTATCATTCTTATACAAAGACAGTAGCCATGTATACAGCCAATTTCAATTAAGGATTAACAAAGGGGGAGTGAACGTGAAACAAATATATAAGAAGAACTTGCTGGACTGTATACGCACAGCTGCATATAAACCGCGCCATCAACAGTAAAAACACAAGTATTATTTGTCCACATATAGGCAGCAGGTTTTCATGTTGTAATGAAACACTTAACAGCTGATAGATAACCGTTCCAACTGTTACCAGTCTATTTTGACAAGAAATGACGGACTCAAAAATAATTGCCCATTAACTATTTGTCAAAGTAGCCAAACTACCACACTCAAAAAAACCTGACCATATAACCTGACCTGTTGTATGGACCTATTACACAACACAAATCTGTGCAGTGGTGGTCCCACAACCAGGAAAAAAGGTAATTGTTTCGGCCACATTTTAAAGATTATGAATGATAAACACTTTTTTTCCCAATCATCGTTTGGGATTGTGTGAAGCCACATATTGGCATATAAATGTGGGGGAGATCTCAAATGTGCAGTTGATGCAATTTACAGGAATTTGAGGCTTTTTGGGGTGGAGACTAATCAGCAGAGGTGTGGACTCGAGTCATGTGACTTGGACTCGAGTCAGACTCGAGTCATGATTTTGATGACTTTAGACTCGACTTGACCAAATATAAAAAGACTTGCAACTCGACTTGGACTTTAACATCAATGACTCTGACTTTCACTTGGACTTGCGCCAATTGACTTGCAAAGACTTGCGTAACCCGGGCCATTTTTACCTTTCTCCGCATCTCTCTTTCTATCTATGCCGTCTCTGAAGAAACAAAGCCTCGCGGTAGTTGTAGCGCTCGCGCGAGAGTTCGAACGTGAGTTTCCCGCAGTTCGCGCAGCAACACTTCCCTAAACAAGCGGACTGCATTCACCGGTGGGTGTGTTGTCTAGGGGAGCTGGAAATGAGCGAGCTGCAGGTATTTATCGCGACCTAACGTCATATTTTGTTCTACAAACCGTAATTGATATGCTTTCACTACAGGCGCCTCATACAATTGAATCGACGCAGTTGTCACACTGTGTGCCGTGTTTTAAAGAGGAACTGGTGAGTCAAACTAGCGCTAGCCTGCGCTGCTCTGTTAGCTCTTTCTTATATTTTTCTGTGTGCGCGCCGAGGCCTATTATTAGGAGTATGTTTTTGCTGTGCTCCTCCTGCTAAAGTTTGCATACATTAGATAGTTGTTTTGATTATGTGCACTAAGCTAGATTAATATTTCCACTATTGTTTATGGTTCATTGATATGAGAATCAGTACTTTGACTGATTGAATTAATTTATATGAGACATTTTATTATGTAATGATATATTGGTAATTATGAGATATTACTAATGCTGGCCCAGTTCATACAGGCCGGGGTCCTTCCCCTCCATTGGTCCCTTCAGTCCTTTGGAACAATAACCACTATGGACATTAAACTGATTATATAGATACAGGTCCTAGCCCAATACTCATATTCATATATGCTGCACTTGCTACTTCCCATTAAAAACCCCAAAGATAAAAAGTATGTTGACACGGACTGCTCTGATTTTATGTGTGGTCTGTGCATGTGTAACTGAGCCTGCATCTGGCACAACATAGTTTTGATTTACCAGCAGCCAACCACATGGAACAAACTGTTAGTCCATGGGTCAGAGACCAACGAGAATGCACCAGCAAAACGATTCCTAACATTATTTTGTTTGCCTACAAAAGTACGTGGAGACCAACAAGAAACAAATCGCGGTCAAAAAGACTCGAGAGGACTCGAAAGTCAAACCGTAGGACTTGGGACTGACTTGAGATTTGTTGGCCTTTGACTTGGACTCGACTCGGGACTTGCCTGTCTTGACTCGTGACTTGACTCGGGACTTGAGGGCAATGAATTGAGACTGACTTGTGACTTGCTAAACAATGACTTTGTCCCACCTCTGCTAATCAGTGTCATTCAGTTAGTTTCTGTTATTATAATTTGAATATAGAAAGCACATTAATTTGGCAATAACTAGCTTTACACATCACAAACAATGAGTATATGTCTGGGGTGTGTAAACTTTTAAGTACAGCTGTATATTCTTCCAAAGAATCAGCAGACAGGCAAATATATGCTTTTGTTGTCAATTTTGCCTGCGGTTCACAAAAACAGTTTGATTTCTCTGGCTTTCAAAATCCCACACAGTTTACATTTTAGTAGAAACATAGGGGTTGGGTTTAGTACATACTACTATTGTCCCTTAGAAATCACAGTGTAACAGAAGTAATAATCATATGACTAATGTCCTCCTTTTCCTTGTTGAAAAGTAATCAATAAAGCAATCACTTACCTTTGAAACTCAGGATCCCCCAGGCCGATCCATGGTCCATATTCTTGTAAAAACAAAGGGATTGTTAATATTTTCCACATAAATTGCAGAACAGATTAATTTATCATCTCACCTCAGCTGTGTAGTCCACCTTAACTTTGCTGATCTGCCAGTAGCACGGCTCAGGGTGCTCTTCTATCCAGGACTTTCGGGTAAACAGGCGGCCTACTCCAAACAGCTTCAAGTTGGACAACAAAGAGAACAGCCTGGTCTCTCTTTGGACGTCTTGCCACGCCATGACAGGGAGCCTTTTCCCGGTGAGAGGCCGCTGCATCGTCTCGTAGTCCAGGGCATACTTCTGGGACTCCCGTGGTCTGGACTTGAGCTCACGATATGCCCGTATCTTGCGTGCCATTTCAGCTATAAGACGAAGCCTTTTTTTCTTTGCCATCTTTGTCAAATGTCAGACAACGTGCGGAAAGATATACTGGAGACTTGGCTCCTCTGCAACACAACACAAGCGCATGATTATGACAGGGAGGTTAGCATGGTTTTAAGAAACACATACACGTTAGCCTCGAAGTGTTTGAAGATAACTCAAACAGATTAAGATTGCATAAAGCCCATACACAGGAGAAAAGTGGGTTAAAATACAGCTTGTACAACACCTGGACTCAAGAAATCCACTTCACTTGACCTCAAGCACAATTACCGACTCCTGCTCCGGTTCCCTGCACCAACTGTCCGTGGGAAACAAGGAGGAAGTCTGAATAGTTCCGCAACAAAGCAAAGCGTATTTTTTTATTTCATAGTTGAGGAAACATTGAAATTTCAATGTTGATGTTCAATTTAATACATAGCATTTCTTGTACAATATCTTCTTTGTGGCAAGTGGAGTCCTGAGGAAGCTGTGTAAATATAGACACAAATATTAGGATGGCTAGAACACATAGACTGTAGCACGTAGTTTTCACATAGTAATATAAGAATTAAAAATAAAGGCAATACAGACATCCACATGCATACATCTACATACACACTCACCCAGAGATAGTCTAAGTATAGTTATTATAGTATAGTTTCAGTACATATCAGAAGAACTGTCCTAATTGAATGGTCAACAGCATTTATTATGTTATTATTATTATTATTATACTTGAACTGAATGAGTAGCATTAATTGAACAATTCAATATTAATGCATGGCCATCTTTTTATTTATCTATTATACCTCAAGTGTTGGTATGCAACTTCTTTGCTCTGGCAACGTTCTATTGTATACATTGACAATGATCATACCATTCAAGAGGTGTAAGGCAAGGCAAGTTTATTTGTTTAGCACAATTCATACACAAGGCAACTCAAAGTGCTGAACAAAATAGCATTAAAATCATAATCACAGTACATTAAAAGGAAAGACAAAAATATACAATCCCTCAGTTGTATGCACAGCTAAACAGAACTGTTTTTAACCTGGTTTTAAACATTGTCAGAGAGGAGGCCTGTCTCACATCTTCAGGAATATTGTTCCAGATTTTAGCAGCATGAATCTGAAAAGCAAAGTGTAGGGTCGGAGAGTGTTTGGGCCACTGTGTTGTCAGAGTGTGTGTATTGTCTGTTTTATAGAAGTATTGCGTTACTGTTTATAATGTACCTTCATATTATCTTTGAGAATTCTAACAGAGTATGTCTGATGGGGTTGGAACCAAATAAGCATTTGCTTCATCCAACTCCTTTTCGAACCAGGTACAAGTTATTTGTCTGTTATATTGATATATGCAATAATATGTATTGTGCAGTTTCAAAAATAAATACAAATCAAAAATACCCTAATCATAACCATAACCAAATTAACTGTTCCCAACCCCAATTTTGACCTGATTTTGATTCAGCATCAGACAGACATACCAGAACAATTGGAATATTTCTTTCTGGATGCAATACCAAGAGCTTAGGCTCATGCATGTATATAAGAAAATGTTTAAATTCACATTAATAAATTAAAAGCTAGGATTAAACCCATACACTTTAGTTGGGATTACAGATTGTGAAGATGTAATTAAAATGCTCATTAATGAATGAACAGGCAAAACTCAGTATTAAGCATTCATTTTATTTTGATTGTAAAATCATGCTTTTTAACTTATACAGTAAAGGCTTTGACATACTTTGAGATATATTATTAGTAAATTATTTTCTATTTACAATATTAAAAGTGCTTGGGTGTATTAAACATGAAGACAAATACTGTGAAGACACATAAAGTTAATTTCATACAATCACTTTTTTTCAACAAGTGATTCTCATTTGCTCCTAATGGAAAATATCACATACACTTGGTCCATTGTTGCTTAAAAATTCTTGTATTAACTTAAATCATTAAAAGGACACACATTTGGCAATCTTTCTATTTCTGGTGAACAGAAAAAGAAAATTCGACCATCTGATCGAGAGTAATAAACTTTTTTACAATTGAATGAAAATATGCATATTGTGTTGTCATAGTCAAACAGCACTAGAAATTCTACGGTCCGCTATTTAAATGTATAGTAACATTACTCCAGATGGCAGCATTTTTGAATGTGTCATGACGCACCATATGCTTAAGATGGATCAATAACCTACATACAGTGTGGAGAGTGAACAGAGCACCTAAAGAAAGTCCAAGCAATGTTTAAGATAATAAGATTGGCTTGACTAACTTTACAGTAAGTGCATCTTTTGCCATTCATATTCAAATGACAAATAACGGAAGCGTAAATGGTCCTGTTAAGACACGCAAGATTATTCCGTTTACGCTCTAAAATCTACTCTAATTAAAATAATACAGTCAAACATGGACACTTCTGTTTGCATACAGTTATGCCAATTAAGTGTAAGCAGCAGTTACTGTAACAGACTCCGTGTTTAGTAGTTAACTGAAAACAGTGTAAAGCATTTGCATGTTTCAAAATAAAACAGTAGGTTAATTATTTAAAGTCAAGGCTTCACTTTTCAGTGATAAATGTGTACTGTTAATTTGGTGCATACTTTTTCATTGACTTGCTGAAAGTGGTTTGGACATGTGTGATTAACATAAGTTGCAAATGGTGTTAAACAATGAGAGGATGGAGGTTAGTTCATTCTTTTTGACCAAAGGACAGTTTGAAATAACGTTTCAGACAAACAGGTAACTACTGGGTTACAGGTGCATTGCAAAAGTATTCGAACCTTTCAACATTTCTCCACATTTCAGGCTTTCAAACATAAAAGATATAAAAATATTTTTTTTTGTCAAGAATCAAACAACAAGTGGGACACAATCGTGTAGTGGAAACAAAATTTATTGGATAAATTAAACTTTAAAAAATTAAAAAACTGAAAAGTGGGGCGTGCAATATTATTCCTTGCGCTAATACTTTGTAGAGCCACCTTTTGCTGCAATTACAAGCTGCAAGTCGCTTGGTGTATGACACTCAGTTTATGCACAGCCAGCCAAGATACAGGAGAAATCTTGCCACATTATTCCTTTCAAAACACATCGAGCTCAGTGAGTGGTATGGATGAGAGCACAGCAGTCCTTCAGCCGTTCACAGATTCTCGATTTGGATTCAGGTCCTGGACTTTGACTTGGCATTCTAACGCCTGGATACGTTCCCTATTTGTGAACCATTCCATTGTAGATTGGCTTTATGTTTTGGATCAATTCCTTTTTGGAATTATAAATCACCGTCCCAGTCACAGTCTTTTGCAACTCCCACAGGTTTTCTATCCAGAATGTCTGTTATTTGGCTACCATCCCATCTTCCCAATCAATTTAGCCATCTTCCCTGTCCCTGCTGAAGAAAGCATGCCCAAATCATGATCTGGCACTGCATACTTTTTCATAGACTTGCTGAAAGTGGTTTGGACATGTTGATTAACATAAGTTGCAAATGGTGTTAATCAATGAGAGATGGAGGTTAGTTCTTCTTTTTGACCAAAGGACAGTTTGAAATAACGTTTCAGACAAACAGGTAACTACTGGGTTACAGTGCCTTGCAAAAGTATTCGAACCTTTCAACATTTCTCCACATTTCAGGCTTCAAACAAAAAGATATAAAAAATATTTTTTTTGTCAAGAATCAACAACAAGTGGGACACAATCGTGAAGTGGAACAAAATTTATTGGATAATTTAAACTTTAACAAATAAAAAACTGAAAAGTGGGGCGTGCAATATTATTCCTTGCGCTAATACTTTGTAGAGCCACCTTTTGCTGCAATTACAGCTGCAAGTCGCTTGGGGTATGTCTCTCAGTTTTGCACATCAAGAGACTGGAATTCTTGCCCATTATTCCTTGCAAAACAGCTCGAGCTCAGTGAGGTTGGATGGAGAGCACAGCAGTCTTCAGCTCTTTCCACAGATTCTCGATTGGATTCAGGTCTGGACTTTGACTTGGCCATTCTAACACCTGGATACGTCTATTTGTGAACCATTCCATTGTAGATTTGGCTTTATGTTTTGGATCATTGTCCTGTTGGAAGATAAATCTCCGTCCCAGTCTCAGGTCTTTTGCAGACTCCAACAGGTTTTCTTCCAGAATGGTCCTGTATTTGGCTCCATCCATCTTCCCATCAATTTTAGCCATCTTCCCTGTCCCTGCTGAAGAAAAGCAGGCCCAAAGCATGATGCTGCCACCACCATGTTTGACAGTGGGGATGGTGTGTTCAGGGTGATGAGCTGTGTTGCTTTTACGCCAAACATATCGTTTTGCATTGTGGCCAAAAAGTTTGATTTTGGTTTCATCTGAGCAGAGCACCTTCTTCCACATGTTTGGTGTGTCTCCCAGGTGGCTTGTGGCAAACTGTAAACAAGACTTTTTATGGATATCTTTGAGAAATGGATTTCTTCTTGCCACTCTTCCATAAAGGCCAGATTTGTGCAGTGCACCACTGATTGTTGTCCTATGGACAGACTCTCCCACCTCAGCTGTAGTTATCTGCAGTTCATCCAGAGTGATCATGGGCCTCTTGGCTGCATCTCTGATCAGTCTTCTCCTTGTTTGAGATGAAAGTTTGGAGGAACGGACAGGTCTTGGTAGATTTGCAGTGGTCTGATACTCCTTCCATTTCAATATAATTGCTTGCACAGTGCTCCTTGAGATGTTTAAAGCTTGGGAAATCTTTTTGTATCCAAATCCAGCTTTAAACTTCTCCACAACAGTATCTCGGACCTGCCTGGTGTGTTCCTTTGTCTTCATGGTTCTCTCTGCGCTTTAAACAGAACCCCGAGACTATCAAAGAGCAGGTGCATTTATACGGAGACTTGATTACACACAGGTGCATTCTATTTATCATCATCAGTCATTTAGGACAACATTGGATCCTTCAAAGATCCTCACTGAACTGAGTTTGCTGCACTGAAAGTAAAGGGGCCGAATAATATTGCACGCCCCACTTTTCAGCTTTTTATTTGTTAAAAAAGTTTAAATTATCCAATACATTTTGTTACACTTCACGATTGTGTCCCACTTGTTGTTGATTCATGACAAAAAATTTGTCATGAATTTTTTGGCTTCAAACATCTTTATGTTTGAAGCCTGAAATGTGGCAAAATGTTGAAAGGTTCAAGGGGGGCGAATACTTTCGCAAGGCACTGTAGTTGCCATTTGACAGTGCCAGTGTTTCGGAGGAGGTAGGAACAAGTCTTCTATGTCCAGCGACATCTCTTCCTCTGACAGGCTTCAGGGTCGGACGTGCAGCCCTCCGAGTCGCTCTCTGAGGGCGGCGCTCCAGCTAAAGCAGGGACAGACAAGTCTGGAGACTGCTCCGGCTCATCGAGAGTCTCCTCTAGGCTGCTACTACCAAGACTCAACACCCATCCAAGTTTGTTATGCAGTAAATGACGTAGCCCAGGTGGCAGTGGCAGCGCATCAAGGGTGTCTACAGAGTCCGGGAGCAGCTGGCGAAGACGAGCACAGCAAAGGTATAGAAGAGAGGTGGGTGCAGAGCAGGAGCGGATTACCTTCATACTGCTCTTTGCTGCTGTTGAACAAGCCATTGGGTAAAAGCGTTTATTCTGGAGCTCTGTGGCAGCAACACCTTTTGTTCAAAAAGTGAAAATTAGAAAACATAGGACAAATCTAATCATATGTTCATTGAAAAGTAGGAAATTTCAAAGTTCACCTATGCACTTGCGATTTTTAAAAAATGTAAGCGTTCCATGCCAAGTGTCCAGATGCACACCAATAATAGAGCCTTGTCCAAATCGGGTGGCGAAATTCATCTTGTCTCCTTTATGGTGCAATAGTCCTGAATTAACAAACATTTCAACAGTAAGTACGGCAAGTCATCTTTATTTATACAGCACATTTCACATTCCATTATCACACAAGTTACACAATGTTACCAGTATATGAAAGGCCCCAACTGTCAGAATCCTTTCCCAGCAGGCTGCAAAATGTATGTCTATATTTGTCCAGGTTGACATCACATGTACCAATCCCAACCATCTGACAAGAAACAGGAAATGGCTGTGTAATTTACATGAACTGGACTTTTAGTTTAAAGTTTGGCGAGTCTTACCATGTCTGTCCCATACACTGGAGATGTCATCTTGATCTCCCAGAAATGCTGCCCTTCAACCAGCTCTTTGGAGCCTCGCACTGCGGCTGTCCCACAACTGTATTCAGAGTGGAAGTTTACTTTACGGTTGTCGCAGTTCAACAATGTTGCTGTGGATCTGCAGCTAGAATCCCAAACCCAGTCGAAATCTAAAACGGATAGATTTGCCTTTTACAAATCACATTTGATCACTTGAAAAGTACTTGAAAAGCACTCAAAGAGGTGCTCTTCCATTATTTCAACAATCATTAATAAAACATGTAGAATATAAGTTAGCCATGATTACCCTGATCATCCTCTCCACAGTGGCAGTCTTTCACTTGGTGAAATCCTCGTAAGCGGGAATTGTAGCTTGTTTCAGTTTGTGAGTCACAACTACAGTATGACTCTCCCGTAACAGGCACGGCACTGGGTACCGGTGGTGCCATAACTGCTGAGAAGTCCGCCTCCGAGTCAGAATCACTGTACTTAAGAGAAATACGCACAATCAATTAATTAAAGGGGGGGGGGGGGGGGGGGGGACATTGATTAAAAAGATTTTTTTTTAGGTTTGTAGTAATTTGCATCTGTGATAGAAACTAAACTATTGCTATCATGTGAGGAGATAAACACTCTACTCACAACAATCACTACAAACAGCACTTGTTCCAGTCCTACCTCTAGGCGCTCATAACCCCAGCCCTCATTTTCAGAAGCCAACACGAGAGCTCGAGCATCAGCATCTTGTCTTATTCCTCCCCAAACATATCTCCAGGCTCGGATGTTTTGACTTCTTCTGGACATGGCAGCACAACTGTGGATTAGGTCGTGCTCATCAGCTCAGGTTTCCAGACTCAAGGCATCAGCTCAGGTTTAGTCCAGACTCAAGGCATCAGCTCAGGTTTAGTCCAGACTCAAGGCATCAGCTCAGGTTTAGTCCAGACTCAAGGCATCAGCTCAGCTGATGGAGAACATGAGATACTGTGACACAAACACAACCGCAAACAACTGTCATTAGTTCATCAACAATCATAACTTAATTATAACATTGATTTGAGAATCTCTGCATAAAACAATGTATACCGATCATCTCTTCAGCAGTGGAGGAAACAGTGATTCACTGTTTTCTGGTTTTAATTACCATATTTATCATGATCAAATAAATTGTGACAAACATTTTAACCAATGAACATGTCGTGGAATAAATTAATGTAATGCATTTTAAAAGCACGCCAAACATGGGATCATGATGGTAAATAAGTGTGTCATATTTGCCTCACATTACAGAGCGACTATCAACTAGCCTAGTGAGCTAACTAGCTTCTGTTAGCTGCTAGCTGCAGAATGCTATTGGTGGAAAACTGCAACGCTCGCCAGCTTTCAGTGACTAGATTCAACAAACCACACACGTCCAGTCCTAAGCAACAACCAACAGTGTGTAAAAACTTACCCTTAGACCAGCCGTTCATACGAGCCCAGTGCATGAGCTGCATCGCTCCTCTCTCCCATGACCTACTTCAGACAGCTCTGACCGTAAACAATGACACACGCACGCACGCGCACGTACACACACACACACACTAAGGACTACAGTACTATCGTTATACTGATATATGCTTAGAATATTATCTATGATATGATATTTGTAACATTATAATTAAATCATTAAAAATAATATATAGGGATGCACCGATGCTGTGTAAATAATTGATGGATCGGAAATCGGTTCTGTGATATCGATTAAGCCGTTAACCTGATTGTGTTATTCTATTGATAATAATAGCACTTGGAGCAGACATGGGCAAAGTGGGGCTGGGAGTCACATATGGCCGCCAATTCATGTTTTCATGTGGCCCTCAGACCTCTTCTCATCAGCAAACTTCAAACCTACTCCCCCTATTTAAATGAATGGGACTCAATACCCAATGAAGGTTTTTAACTACGATGGCATGTCATCAAAAAAAAAAAACCTGTCCACAACACAGCCTTCTTGGTTCGAACGAAAGAATTTAAATTCAAAGGCAAAAATAAATAACAATTATCCATAATGAATAATACAAATGTCCTCTAATTACCTCCCATAGTATACAAGGTTAACAAAATATAGTGATGCAAAAGATCAGCTAATACACAAACACAAAGAAAACATGGTATCCCTCTCCTTCTCCATAAATACTTGTTACATTTTTAACTTAAGAAGCTTACACTCATGATGTTCCAAATGATATAAAAAGGAGCCCGGCCTTCCACAGTGTTCTGATATCCCAATGAGGCCCCCAGGAGAAAATAATTGGCCACTCCTGACTTAGTGGCGAATAACCTAGAATGCCTAAGAGTTTAACATGTACTCATACACAGTTGTCCTGTTGTTAGTTGAGGAATAAAAAACACAATTGGACCCATTTTGTAAAGAGCTTTCTGTAATTCGAAAGTATCGGACATGAATAGGCTGCATCATTCATTCCTATTATTCTGCCTACTGAAGTTTTTCTAGAAGTATTTAGTAATTTTTTTTTAGATTCCAAGGTTTTCCATTCATTTGTAACATGGCAAACGAGATTATTTGTTTGTGCCTGTCATACATGGTCCTGGTCTTTTTAGGGACACTTTTCCAATTTGCGGGAAAAAAAAAGCAATCTGAAGAAAAGGCTTCTCCTGGTTGGATGCTTTGGCAGACAATAAGACTAGAAATGACCTAAATGTTTGTGATGTAAACCCTCAAACACTAAAACCAGTGTGTCACAGATACTCAATTACTCGCCCACCTTGCTATATATGAATGAGTAATACTAGGTGGGAGGCCAAGGACGCAATTTGTCAGCCTTGCTTCTTTCAGTCAGCCCCAGGGCAGCTGTGGAGTGAGCAATAAAAAAAAAAAAGTATTGAATGGAGTGGGGTGGTCTTGCACAGTTTTTCCAATGTGCTTTTACTGCAAATGGCAAAGAAATGAATCTGAAATGAGTACATTCAATAAGAAAAAAAAAAAATAAAATACACACAAGTTGATTTAGAACAAAAACAACAAAACCCATCAATTGTTTCTGGAGGAGGTTGAGTTTTATTTGGAAATCTGACAGGCATGGTTGAACAGTGAGCTCGCACCTTAACCAAATACAAACAAAAAGACAGCAGCACTACAGAAATATGATATTAGTGTGTAAGAATGTCATATTTAACAGAACATCACTTGCATACATTGAGAACTCAGATTACTCACCTCCACACAAACACACACACTCCTGCACACACACTCACACAGTTGTCACAACATGTGGACATCCTCCATTGGTATTCACACTACATCCAGAGGAATTCCAACAATTACCCACAGTGCAATAAATCTAACTATACATAGATAATTTATATAGTTTATGTATACAGGGTTTTCAATAAACAGTTTTCCATTTAGACACTCTCATCAAGTCAAGTTTTCATAAATAGTGAAAAAGTCCTGATATCTCCTCACCATTATGATTAAAAATGGTCCCCATAACATGAAAAGAACAAAAAACTAATGTGCACAACTTTTCAGCAACCTCAAAAAAGACAAAATTACCAACGAAAAACAAATACCTGGAATGGGGCAAAGGTAAACGCTTATACTCACACTCACAGCACAGACTGGTTACTACATTTACAAGGTGTGGAGGGACTTTGGATCACTGTACAGTTTAAGATCAGACAACAAATCAGGCAGACTGTCCACACATCATCCCACAACAACCACTACATCTTCATGCCCATTCAATATGCACAAGACCTGACACAACCGGATGGCCAAAACAATGCAGGTACATCACATCTACGGAGGACGAGCTGCCTAAATGTTTGTGTTGCCATCCTATCCTGTCAGATCCACAGGTGTAATGGATGTAGGTGAAAATCTCCTATTTGTTCTTGCTGCTTTGAAGTGGAATGGATGAGATGGTGCTGATGTAGACACTTATTTTGTAGACAGGATAAGAGCCACAATAAGACCGTAAAGGCCCAGGACTTCAGCAAAGATCAAGATGAGAATCATGCCAACAAAGAGCCGTGGCTGCTGAGCTGTGCCTCTGACACCAGCGTCGCCGACAATGCCGATAGCAAAGCCAGCAGCCAGACCACTCAGGCCCACGCTTAGACCAGCACCCAGGTGCAGGAAGCTTCTGTTTGGAGAACACAAGCACAACAGTGAGCTCAGACACATGTCAGGAGCATGTTTGATCAATAATCTTAAACTTACTTGTAGAGGGGGAGCTTCTCAGATATGTTGTTTGCTATCAGCACTGCCACCACCAATCCATAGATGGCTATAATACCAGCCATGACCACAGGAATGATGGACTTCATGATGAGTTCAGGCCTCATCACAGACATGGCAGCAATACCTGTACCACTCTTTGCTGTTCCATATGCAGCTCCAAGAGCTAGAAGGCAAAAGGATGTATTAGGACACACCAGCTACAAAACCAGCGATGGAATAATTTGTATGAGGATATATTTTACAGTACATTAATATAGTTTTATAGGAAGTCCACTTGGACTTTTATTCAGTGCCTACAAAAAACTACTGCAAAAGCCAGCACTCAACTATTATGATTTGTGTCAAACAATCTGCAGGCAAAGATTAACTGGTTTGAAGAATGTCAGAACAATGATTATGTAATCATCATGCTGGAGACAGCATCACAAAATAATAGTGGATATGATAACTGATCGCATATCAATCCACTTTTTAAAGGCTGTTTCTTAATAGCGCCAATTTGATGAAAATATGTATAAATAGTGCCATTGAAATTGTTTTTAATTTTGAGTGTATTAGTAGCAGTCTGGTGTAGCAGTAATATACAGAAAGCCGATGCTTGAATATAAATAAGTGGCTCTGAGTGAATAATACAGTAACACATCCTCTTTTTCAGTGATGTTTTTGAGCTAAAGGAAGCAGAGAAGACACGACACGGTCTAACTTGGAGCCATATGGCATGTGGAATGACAACCACTTCCACAGGCCTAACTTATGGAGCTGTCATTACTTTAGCTACGGTTTATGGGCCCAAATGGACAATCGTCACAATCTGTATTACATTTAACCTGGATTAGTGGTGAAGAGGCCACTGTTTGTTTGACAAGCTGCTGTCATGAGTGATCGGCAGGAGCCCATGAAGCTGGCGCGACCCCCTCCTTTGACTCTCATCCTTGGCAGGTGTGAGAACCGTGACCACCTCAAACAGCACATCCTTCTCTGCCAACATTACTTCCACATGTCTACTATAACATTCAAGTGTAAACAAGCACATTTCCCCAAAGGCAGCATATTTTTGTGAGTGTCAGATGCAGAAAATCCTGGTTTAGTTACCACTGAAGACCATGGCCGAGGAGGCTCCCATCACAGCGAAGAAGGGCGAGTATTCTGGGCTCTCCTCACTCATTGTGGATCTGCAGTGGAACCTATGCGGCTGCTAAACAAAACTATCTTGTGTCGGATCGTTCTCAACCCCGGGGTAAGCAGCTGGACAGGGGGAAGCACAGGCTCGGGGTGACAGCGTAGCTCCCAGTACGATCACCGGTGCAGAAGGGGAAAATGGCGAAACGGAAAAGGCCACATGACCATCCAGCTCGGACCGAACCATGTACGTCCTCCGCGGGGTGAATGTCAAAGTGCCGTGCTTTGCCTTTGCAGTCATTAAAATGTGCGTTATCAACATTTGAAAAAAATACATGTTTATTTTCTAGCTTTTGACTGTGATCAACAAGAGGAATATTCTGCCATCGCCTGTGTGTCATTTTTGGTACGTTCTGCTGCAAGTGTAATGACTGCAGTTGAAACGCTAGGGGGCGGTAACGTGCGGTATTGAAACCTTCAAATGTATAATGAAAGGTTTCAAAACCTCAAACGAGATAAATATTTTCCCTAGCCTGCATCCAAATACAGAAAATAAACCTCCTTGTATGTCCTTCTTATTGCCGTATAATTTGACCAAAGTAGCAATAAACATATCTTCTTGAGAATGTGTTAAATTTTACAACTCATAAAAAGTCACTTTTAAAAGCATAAGGGTGGAAGTATTTTTGTTGCTGCTGAATTCAGATTTTTTTGTTTTCATCCACTTTCTTGATATAGATGGCAAAACTCATGACAGTCAGCAGCTGGTCTGAAAGTGCTGATCATGTGACCAGTCTACTCAAGTTGTTAGACTTCAAGAAAGAAAGAAAGCAGATTAAAATAAAACAAAAACACTTTAATGTAAGAAGCAAACATTAAAATCACCATAAATATGCTACATAATATTAAGCCTGGTCTGCTCTAACAATACATGAGAGGACAGCTCAGGGGGTACATAAACAGAGGATAGATCTTTTCAGCATTAAATATAATTCCACCTATGCAGAAGAAATGCTAGATGTCAATCCCACACAACACCCTTATAAACATTCATACCAAAATGAAGAGACACACACGCTCATAATGTTCCACTGTGGGATTTAGTGTTCACCCCTGATCAGCTTTGACAATTATCAACTTGCGGGGATTATATTTGGTTAACTTCCTTGAAGCCAGACATAATTTTTCAAAGGCAACATCTGCATTACCCAATATGGACCTGCCAATTTTACTTTGAGTAAGTGTTCAGAGACCGCAACCAATAAGTAAACAATATTGCAGTTGTAAGTATAACCCCTATTGACCACAATAAACTGTTGGAGTTTTTGATTAAAAATAAAAGGTTGTGGCCAAACCAGGCTTTAAAACCAAACATGCACACATGCCAGTGTGATTACATGTCCTAGTTACTTATCAAACACAAACCCTACACTCATTCACTCCATGACCCAGGCCTCAAAAGCAGCTGGGATAAACACCAGCAAGTGTCGCTGCAGCTGCTGAAGAAACGTGAAGAACAGAAAAAAGATAAGGCATCACATGCTATTCTTGGCGAATCTGCACAAAGTGAAAGTGTGGCACAGCGATGGCTTGTATGTGAGATGAGGAGACATTGGAACCCTTGTAGCTGAAGGGACACTTCTACCAGTCATAGGGGCCTCGTCCTCCTCAATCCCAGCCATTGTCTTTAATCATGTGGGACAACTCAATGATGTACTTCCCTTCCTTATATTTCTGACTTAATTCAAAAGCTTGCTCCTGCAGAAACAAGAAAGAGAAAGGACAGTCAACATTTTATAATTTTTTCTATATATGTTTTCTATATGACATAATATTAGGAGTCGTTACATATTTCCAGCCAAGAGTGGTGTGGCAGTTTTCACAGTAGATATCAGCTACAGCGTGAAGTCCAGTGAGCAGAAGCCGCTCTTCTGCAGGGCCACATCCAACATTTACTCTGAAAGTCAAAACACACCATGAGAAACATCAACATTTCAGCACGTTTGTATTTTACTTTATTTAGAATATTCGTAAATTAGTGGAATGACACAGTTGCCAAGAGTTCTGATCCCATAACAATATAACATCACTAGAGATTCAATTGATATACTAAAGGTGCTGAAGAGCTCTAGAAAAGTTATATTTTCAGTTTTGTCCAAATTAAATCAAATTTGGGATTTATTGAGTAACAATCCTGGCCAACACTTGCCCAAGATCTGAAGGTGGGTTCCGAGAACTAATGCTAAGAGGAGTTTCATTGAGTGGCACCAGAGGATGTATCAAAAGCAGATTTAATTTAAAGCAATTTATATGATTTGAACAAGTGAGGACTACCTGGGAATATCATTTTCAATTAAAAGTGAAAGTTACAAACTGTAAAATACTTACACAGAGTTGAAGAGGTAGGCTCGGCCCTGACTGCCTTGAAAAGACTATTGCAAGAGAAAACCAGTCAGTTGACATTACTATTTAATAACAACCCGATATGGCACTGGCTTTGTTGAGCACCAACCTTAGAAATGAGATCGTCATGGTTGGCCAGATGGGCGCGGCAGTGCACACAGCTGTAGCGGCGATGGCATGTGTCCAGGTAAGCCTGGAAAGTCTTGGCCTTTGTTAGCTTCACCATGTCTGAAAATAATTAGGAGGTGGGATGTAATTCTAGGGCTGTCATAATAAACAATATATCAAGTTATTGCAAGGTTAGTAAAAATGAGATTGGTAAGTCTGACGGCCACAATAAGTTCCATTTCTGCGAACGAGTGTTCAATCTTGAGCAACCATGGATGTAATATATGTACATACTCTAACGGGATTTTGCATCCTGTGTTGCTGTGTTCTGACTCCGGAGCAACTGCGGCCGCTTTGTAGTGAATAACAGTGGCTCCTGTGAGCCGCTTTGACAACAGCGGCGAGCGCGCAGCTTTACCGTGGCCATAATGTGACCAGCGCAGACCATACATGCGGACAGGAGCAAGTGCGTGTCTTTGCATAACCTGTGAACGCAATAAACACGCTGCCGGTGTCCAGGTCTCCCCCTGTGTCTTCCCCTGAAGCACTTAAACTAAAACTCACAAAATTAAATCTGGGCTACCTACATTTTCCTTTGCATTATTAATGCATGGTGTTACAAGTTTTAAGAAGTACATGTTTATTGGTCTTTCAAAGGATCTATTTGCAGTTTTTATGCAGTTTGGCCTTTATTAAGTGCAAAACGCCTCAAAATGGCCATTTAAAAATGTATTGCAATATCATTGTTTATGGCCAACATTTCTGGGACAATTAATTGTCAAGGAAAATGTGTTATCATGACAGGCCGAGTGCCTTCTTCAACCAGTATTTCAGGCTCCCTCTTTCTTCTATTGTTTACAAATCTACACCTATTGACCTGCTAACTGAAGTACAGATCAGCAACCTTCCTTTGTTTGCTCTGCCTAATTCAGGGGGGTCTCCAACCTATTGCTCACCGCCCCCTTCCAAGTAGCTCCTCAAACAATTAATAAAATGCAAATTATCTGCTAAACATTAAAATGATTTAAAAATACTCTCAATTAATTTGCACTAATTTAAGGGAATGCTTAATAACTACGCCTCAGTAAATCGTTCATATCTAGAAAAGGGAGCTGTCCGAGAATAAAAGGAGACTCACGATGGTACAAACAAATACTTATTATAAATAAAACAATAGATTAAAAACAATAAAAAAATAAAGAATGATTTAATTTAAAAGTTTACACAAATACAATTAAAAATATCCAATTTAAATACAAAAATATTCAGGCACTACAGTGTTTAATCATTGTTCAATATGGATTGGCTCTGCGTGCTACTTTGGAAAACACATGCAGTTTTCAGCAGGAAAGTTCTGATCCAGGACAGGACGTGGAACAAAGACATGAGACGACGACATACTGTGGCAGACATGTGCAGCGCTGTGTTCACACAACACACTTCAGAGTAAACAATACCACAGCACACAACACAACATGACATACAATTATTTGTTGCACTGGTGAAGCATTAGCACGGTGTGTATAGGACGCAGTGTTGTTGTTGACCGAGCAGCGCTTTTGTGTTAGCGTTAGCCGCATGCTAACACCACAACACAAAGCACACAGCCGCAGTAAGCCCCAGTGTGGACGGCCTCACCTGAAGGACCAGAAGAATAATCCTCAGTGAAAGTCTTTAAGAGAAAATCAGAGGTGACCAGGGCACAGAGCTGACTCTTTGTGCTGATGGACCAGGACGATGCAGCAGCACACGTCCGATCGCTCCAAACACAACAGCACCGGCCTGATGTGTCGAAGCCCGCGTTTCCTCTGCGCGATGACCCGTGTCTGAGGATCCGTAACTGTGACCCAGAGTTAATCTAACCTTAACTTCTGACACAAAAACAATCGTGCAAAAGCGAGAGTGCGCGGCCTTCAGGACGCTGATGTGGTTTGTTTATGAAAACACAGGAGGAAGTGTGAAGTGTGCAAAACAAATGTGTAGCAGCCAATCAGCGAGCACCTCTGACGTCAGGAATGTGGGTCAACCAATCACGCGGCTCCGCACATCGGCCTTTTATGGTAATCACTTTGACTAGCTGCTACAATTTTCATATTTCTGTTAGAAAACCACGGATTTAACATTGGTGTCATTTGGACGCTTTGCAACACCGCGCAGTCGGAGAACACCAGAGCTCATGTGTTCTCAGAGGAACATAGAGCCTGTTTTTTAAAGACATTTTCCTGAAAAGTGGAAAGCTATTTTTAGCTGCATTCATGATTTGCTGCTCACCGACCACATAGGCAGATACTTGAAGCTGTTTCTTCAAAACGACTTCTTTCACTATTGATCAATCTAGTTTGTGGAACATGGTTCATCAACTCTTTTCAACTGGCCTCTGGGTCAGACAAAGAGGTCTTTGCTGCTACAGTAGAGCAGTAGATGATTATCTCACAACACTGTAGCTGGACTTTAACCTTGACCTGGAAAACTAGTCTACAACATATGCCTGTACACGGCTTTCAAAGAACTAGGATTCACACACCCTGGCCTGTATGTATTATACGATTACTGACATACTATAAAGCAGAGCTGTAATCAATTCTGATACCAGACAGTTCTTTGCTGATGCCAGAGGGTCTAAGGACAGTGATGACCATTGATGACATTTAAGGACATTTATTGAAGCTCAAGTGAGCCCCTGGAGAACATATCATAGAGATGACACATTGTTTACAAAGTATTTTATATAGAAAACCCAGTTTTATTTGAATAAGTCATTATTGAATTATCTGAGTCATAAAACCTCTTCTTCAATATGATTCTCAGTCTAAGTAACATTCAATAAAGGATTAATAGATTATTAACATATATTATTTAATAATAAATTATTTGCAAATAATCAATAGACAGTCCTAAACTGTTCCAAGGAAGATTTTCTTAAAACTGCTAAACATCTTGAAACTTATCAGCAATTATAACAAACAGACTTCTATGTCATTGAACATGCATGTACCGTATGAGGAGAAAATGCAGCAGTAGTCCAAACAAGTCCCGTTCACTCTTCCTTATCAGGGGAGTTTACAGTCACGTGTAGAGCTGGTTCAACAGTCTCAATACAGATTTGTTACCAGGGAAAATACCTTGAAAGAATGTGGGTGGAGATCACAGTATAATACATACAGGTCATCAGTCAGTAAATACAATCACTTAATCAGGCAGTGAAGTGGTTTTAATTAATATAATGCAGCCAGGGCCTCCAGCATCAAGACCGACCCGCACCCTTCTGGGGGTGGTCTTTGTAGAAGTAGTTTGACAGAAGAGAAGGATAGTCCGTCATCACTCCAGTGGCTCCGAGCTCCAGAGCAGCTGTAATGTCCTCATCTGTGTTGCAGACAAATAAATGCACCTAAACACACACACACACACACACACACACACACACACACACACACACACACACACATACATGTTAATACATACTTGGGGAATATGTATACATAATAAATATGTATATTATGTATAAAATAAATGTATTTTTAAATGAACGCAAATCTACACACCTTTACATTGTATGCCACAGGCTGGGACCCCATGACCCCCACTGATAATATACTAATAATTGGAAGCTTGCTGAATTTAATGATAATAAAAAAGAACAACAAAAAATAGACTAAAGTAACACCATGCGTTTGTTTTTTTTAAACTTTGAATGTTTTCATGGCATTAATATATATGCATTATGCATATTTCAAGAGATATCTCCATGGGACCATGCAGGCAGTTTTCCACCTCCAAAAAGTTACATACTGTTGTGGAAATGTTTACTATACTCACTACTGCCTAAAACATGTAAACTTGTAGTGTCTCCCTCTGCTGGTCACAGAGAAGAAGACTGTTTTCTTAAAGGAGAGCTATCATGCATTATTTTCTGCCAATAACAATATATGAGATTATGATATATATGTAATCTAAGTATGCGTTACAATAGTATGTGTAAACATACCTGGATCCCTCTATCTGCTAGATGTTTGAACAGACTTTTCCTCATGGTCACTCTGCCAAGACAGAATCAGAGTGGAAACCAATTCATAGCCAATGCTAAAAATGAAAACAAAAAAACTTACATTTCCAACAGACAGACAACAAGTCTGTTCCTCAAGATGCGTTGATCAGGAATAAATGTCCTAAAATAAATAAGACAATTAATTAATTAATCATCGGTGTGTGATATAAGAAATGCTATTGTGGAAAGCGTTTTTACGTAAAAAAAAAAAAAGGTCAGAGTTTTTTTACAAGGTTTCTAGGACGATTTCCCCAAATTTTAGGAAAGAACCGCCCTCTTCAGAGCGAACGCCTTCTAAAGACGAGTGTGAGAGAAACGACGGCCTTACGTCACATATCATCAGAATGATTGGGCCAGTAGTCCGGGATGTCAATGCCAAATACATCAGAGGCCAAAAAAACGAATTTTCAACCAGCCGAGGGCCGGATTGGTTCAATGTTTATTAAAACATATTAAATGATTGCATATAACCTATTGAACCAACCCCAACACAGTGTACCGTATTTCGGTTCATGATTGGATTAATTATCCAATATTTTGTATGGCTCTGTCTGTAATTTCAAGTGAAAACTTGAAAAACCAACTTCCTTCAATGAGAAAGCACACGTCCTGAACATGAAATGAATAATCCAATATTTTCTTATGGTTCTATGAGGGCTGGTTCTAATACTAATCAAATGTCATCTTGGAGGCCAAGATAGTTCCTTCACAGGCCGGATCTGGCCCGCGGGCCTTGACACCCATGGTCTTCTAGATGATCCACCCAGAAAAAGAAAATCCTCCTATATACCTTTAGGATAAGATAAGATAAGATACTCCTGGTTTGGAAAATGTGTTAAATTCAAGATTGATGCCATTACAGCCAGACAACGACACCTACACAAGCCATTTGGTTTCCCTCCACACTGGTATCTATGAAAATAATCTTTTTGGTGCTACAAGTTTTGATGATTATTCATTTTACTCTACATATGAGCAACATTTTTGTTATTAAAAAAATGGAACCAAAACCAGTTACATTTCTTATTCTGCTCAATGACTGGATAATCTGCTCTTTACAAATATTGTATTTTAGAACAACTTTAAATGTTAGTTGAGAAAAGGTCAAGATGCAAATGTCGATGTACTTCTAGCCCTACTTGAGTGTTTCTCACTTAGAGTAATGACAGTGAATCTTTGGACGTAAACAGGAGTGAGAAAGGGATAACGGCACCTGTTCATGACGCGCGGTAAGTAGAACTGCAGTAAACTCTCATGAATCGGCACAAAGGGCAGAAGACCGCTGTAAAAGAGCAGCAGCAGCACCACTCCTCTCTTCATCGAGAAACTAAACGGCAACGTGTTATTCTGCAACAACAACAAAACACAAAAAATCAGGGTACGTTGAGTTGAGTCCGATCAGACAGCATACATACCGTCTCCAGACACTTTTTAATGATGCTGGAGCTCAGAGACGCCCACACAGTAATGCTCTCACGGTCATAAAGCTTCACCAGATCCGACACCTGAGACAGACACACACATGTTATCCTGTGTCGCTGTCATTTGGTGTGAGGGATGCACCTTTTGAATGAGCTGCTGGTTTTCTTCTTTGATTTCGATGCTGATGGGCATTCTGGGAAACTTTCGAAACAGATCCTCCAGCAGCGCAAACTGTCGGTCCGTGCCGCTGCTGTAATGACCTGCAGGAAATCCTCATTATCAAGCGTATAAAGCCACAACCTTTTTTGGCTACACTAATGTATCAGTTTTAAGCTAATCTTTTACGTCTGTGCATATTTCCCCCAATATTTATAGTTTATCCCATGAAGGTAGTTTCAAATTATTATTATTATTAGCCCCGAGCCCCAACTACCGCGGTGAAGTTAGTTTGAAGTTGGATATCCGACAGACATTCAACGGTCATTCCCTCTCGGTACACCTCTCCTTCTCTCTGGGTTCAGAGCGACTCGAAAGCCGCTCCAACATTTTAGTGTACCCCTACTACACACAGTACGGTAAACACGCGGAGACATGTACGCTGGTCTAATATTTACATATAAAAAATCATTAAAAATACTTACAACATTTTAATGATAAAAGAAGAGGTGTACCCCCTGCAGCTAGTGGAGGACTATGATCCTGACCTGATTTGGAGTCAATAGGTCACATGACCTGGAAGCTATTGAGCTAAAATGCTAATATTTGCCTTTAAAAATTCATTAAAAATTCTTTAAAAAACTTAAATGACAAAAAAGAGGTGTACCCCCTGCAGCTAGTGGAGGACTATGATCCTGACCTGATTTGGATTCAATAGGTCACATGACCTGGAAGCTATTGAGCTAAAATGCTAATATTTGCCTTTAAAAATTCATTAAAA